CCAATTTCCTGTATTTTAAGAAATTAAATTGAATCCCAACCATTGCATGAACAGAAATAACATCTTTTTTTTTTTTTTTTTTTTTGACAGGCAGAGTTAGACAGTGAGAGAGAGAGTGAGAAAGGTCTTCCTTTTTCCGTTGGTTCACCCCCCAATTGGCCGCTACGGCCGGCGCACTGCACTGATCAGAAGCCAGGAGCCAGTGCTTCCTCCTGGTCTCCCTTGCGGGTGCAAGGCCCAAGCACTTGGGCCATCCTCCACTGCCTTCCTGGACCACAGCAGAGAGCTGGCCTGGAAGAGGAGCAACTGGGACAGAATCCGGTGCCCCGACCGGGACTAGAACCCGGAGTGCCGGTGCCGCAGGCAGAGGATTAGCCTAGTGAGCAGTGGTGCCGGCCAAGAAATAACATCTTTCATTACATATCATGACCTCCAACATTGTCGCTTGTGCTCCCATATTCAGATGGACAGCTCAGTGCATAACCCTTCCTCAGCTCTGATGTTTCTTAAACTTGAATAAGTGATGGATCTCTTTAAGAAGGGAAAAGAATCTTCTGGACTCGCAGTGTTGACTCATTTATTTTTTCTTATAATAAGTGGCTGTGTTAACACCGACTTGAGTCTGGCTGAAGTGGATACTTTCTTGACTTCAGCAGGCTTATGATGACTCCAGTCTCTTTTTTCTCTTCAAATGGCTGTGAAACTTTTGCTCATGAGCAACATCTGTGTGTTGTTAAAAATTCTTTTTGTAAGTTTCAGATTAACACACAGTAAGTGTTTAAGGATATTTCAACACATACACACTGCTGTGTAAATGAATCATACCAGGCAGCTCTATTAGCGTCTCTGTGTTTGCATGGGTTCAATCTCCTTTTTTCACAAGGCTCTGGAATCACAGTCGTGGCACTGTGGATCCTATCGAGGTGGAAAACACCATGTGGACTTGTGCCTGCATCAGGCTTGCTCATTAAGGGCATCCAGGTCATTGAAAATATGCTTCTGTAGTGACTGAGATGGATTTGAAAAGCCCTGAAGAAAACACCGGAGTCTCTGTTGCTACGTCTGACAGTCTGAGAATAAACACTTCAATGCAGGGGCCACCTTTTGTTTATCCACTCCTTCCTGGAGCTCCTTTTCCCAGACATACTTGGGCCTGCTGCCTTTTGCTGCACATGGGCGAGGTATTGTGTGCAAAACACTCTTCATCTTCCACTAAGGGTTTGAGTGCTCATCCTTGTACACTGGATGTTTTCTCCAAACCTTGTTCAGTTCCATGATCTTTTTTTTTTTTTCAAGGTAAACAAATTTTATTTATTGCATATACACTGATTTAGGAACACAGCAATATTTCCCCACCCTACCCTCCCTCCCGTCCACACTCCCACCCTTCCTCTCTTATTCCCTCTCAATTTTATTTTAAGATTTTTATTTATTTGTTTGAGAGGTAGAGCTACAGACAGAGAGGGAGAGAGAGACAGAGAGAGGGGTCTTTCATCTGCTGGTTCACTCCCCAAGTGGCTGCAATGGCTGGAGCTGGGCTGATCTGAAGCCAGGAGCTTCTTCCATATCTCCCACATGGTTGCAGGGGCCCAAGCACCTGGGCCATGCTTCACTGCTTTCCCAGGCCATCAGCTGGATTGGAAGAGAAGCAGCCAGGACTAGAACTGGCACCCATATGGGAGGCTGGTGCCACAGGCAGAGGCTCAGCCCACTAGGCCACAGCACTGGCCCCTCCCTCCCTTGGTTTTTACAATGATCTACTTCCAGTTTACTCTATACTCGTAAGATTAACCCTAAACTAAGTAAAGAGTTCCACAAATAATAAGAGAAAAACACTGTTCCTCAACAATAGAGACAAAAGCTGTAAACAATCACTGAATCTCAAAATGTCAATTTTACTCCTATACACTACATTTTTGATACTCTGTTAGTTACCACAGATCAGGGAAAATATATGGTATTTGTCTTTTTGGGACTGACTCTTTTCACTAAGTATAATGGTTTCCAGTTACATCCATTTTGTTGTAAAACACAGTATTTCATTCTTTTTTATGGCTGAGTAGTATTCCATAAGCTTCCATATTTCATCTTTTATACAAAACCTGAAAATATGAGCTTACAAGGTTCTTGGCCTATTGAATAAATTGGTTAGTCTCAAAACATTTCTTTCACACACAGATTTCTCTCTTCCAATTCAGTTCTATTTCTTATGTCAAAATTACATTCAGACTCTCTTTTTGGAAACTCCTAGGAGTTTCCAGAGTACCAGGGCAGCTCTAGATTTGGGACTGAAAGATTCCCAGAGAAATTTCCACTTGACAAGCTATAAAGCATAGGGGACTCTATTAACTTCCCAGAGGCTCATTTTTCTCAGCTGTAAAATGGCATAATGATAGCTACAATTTTTACAGGGTTTTTGTGAGAGTTTCACCAGTGTGCACAACCACATTTAACATCTCATCTGTGTTGCGCATGATTAGTTGGAGCTTTGCCACCATAATGTGGCATGTGTTTTTCTTTCAGACTTTCAACATTTCCTTTGCAAGTTCTCCTCTGCTTTTGCTTTTGGTTTCTCGTATTTCTTAGCTCAGGTTCTTTGCCATTTCATTTTTCTAGTTAACTTATTAATTTATTGTTCATCCATTCTATGTCATGTTTGGATGAAAATATTTATGTCCAGATGGTTGATATCACACTTGTTGGGGATGGGGAGACTGTTTTGGGTAAGGGGACTCCCTGAGGATGTGGCTTTATGGGAGTCAGAGTTCAGAGAAATAGCTGATTTAGAACTGAGCAGAAGGAGAGAAGAGAAGAGAGGAGAGGCAGAGTGGGGGGTTCAGCAAGGTAGCGGACTCCCAGGGGCGAGGTGAGCAGTGAGCCTGGGCCTCAGGAAGGTGGGGTTGGTGGCGGAAGGAGGCAGAGCAAGGACACGCGCAGCAAGTTGGAGCTATCTGACATTCCACTGGCGCTCGTCCAGTTACTGTGATGTGAACTCTCTCCCTACTCTTTGGGGAGGTTTACCACCCACTGGAGTAGAGTTTTGGGGAAATCAAGGAAAAGAACTGAGTCCAGGTTGGGGTGGTGGGGCACAGGCATGGAAAATGAGCACTCATCTATTGGTTCACTCCCAAATGCCTGCAACAGCTAAGGCTGTGCTGAGGCCAAAGCCAAGAACTGGGCATGCAATCCACGCCTCCCAAGTGTGTGGCAGGAACCCAATCACTTGAGCCATCCCAGAGTCTGCATGAACAGGAAGCTGGAATCAGGAGCTAGAGCTGAGACCCAAACCCAGCTACTCTGATGGGGGACACAGGATCTTAACTGCTTGTCTAGACACCCACCCCAGCAATCCTATTGGGCTAGGATCGGACAGTGACTTGCTGAAGTTTTCAGAAATAGTGAGGGTCAGAAGAAGAACCCTAGTCTCCTAATCTTAGCCAAGTGTTCCAACCTGCATCCACCTCCTGGCTCATTCCTCCCTGGAGAAATGGTGGCTGGCCTTGAACTTCTGGATATTTGCCTTACAGCACTTAACTTCTTGGGCTATTTCTGACAAAAGCCCCAGGGGATTGGGAACTGAGCTAAGCCAAAGTAGGGTTGCTAGGACTGTTTAATTGATTCTTGCTGGCATTGCCTGAAGGCTCAACATTATCTCAAACAATTCTCTTATTCCTGAAAACCAGCCAAACAATGCAGGGGTTGGGGATGAGATGCATCCTCATGACCACTGGGCTTTTGCCAAGTATCTTTGGATTTCCAGGAATCAGAGACTGATTTGGCAGCAGGTCATACTCCAAAGGTTGTTCTGCCCCCTTCTTGGGGTTAAGAGAAGCACCGATGGTCAGCCAGCATCATGAGCTAGAAGTACAGAATGTGGAACAGCGAGGAGGAACCTCCATGGAGGAAGAAGGTGATTGTTCCCACTGCCTCACCTGGGGATACCCTGGTCTGTTTACTTGTGAGTACGGGTGCTCCTTAACCTACAGTAGGCTTCTGTCCTGATAAACCCATCGTAAGTGGAAAATTCACTGAATACATCTGATCTGTGGTGCATCCTAGCTTAGCAACATGGCACACTGTAGAGTGTTGGGTGTTTCCACTCATGAGTGCAGGGCTGATTGGGAGCTGTGTTCACCTCCACTGCCCAGCACTGTGAGACAGTAGTGGCTTGCATGTTGCTGACCCAGAAAAAGATCAAAATTCAATGTATGGCTTGTATCAAATATGCACCATAGTCAAATCATACTTATGCACCATAGTCAAATCAAAGAATTGATGGGGAGGGAGGAGGGAGACAGGAAGGGAATATCATTATATTCTTAGAAATGTAACTACCAACTGTAATGAGACTATTAAAAACTATTAAAAAATTTTAACAATAAAACATAAAAAAGAAAAGGTAGTAATTTGAATCATTATGAGCTGAGGACCGTCTGTATATGCGGTAAGTGTGTGGGTGTGGTAGAGAGAGGTACAGCAGGTTCCTGAATGGCAACTCCTTCTCTCCCACCCCACCCCTGTGGAAAGTCAACTTCTATAGCTTAACCATTGTGCCCTGTAGTGTCTGGATCCCCTCAGTTCTAGGCCCTGATCATATCTGCCTCTGAAACCATACTTCTTCCTTCTGCCCTTGATTGCCTGGAAAAAGACAATACTCTTGTAATCCATCTGACTTTTTCCTTTTGCCCCACCGAATCTTCAAAACAAACCATGTAGTTATGGGGGAGGCTGAAAAGGCCATTTTTACCTTGAGGAGAAACTTGATTATTCTAAGATAAACCAGTTGAGAAGATTCACTTTTGTGTTTATTGGCCTTTGCACAGGTCAGTGTACCCAGTCTAACCCATGCCCTTGATGAGAACTCAAGTGTCAAGGGGCAGGCCACTGATCTAGGGAGGTGGAGTGGGTCAGCCAGGTGGGCTGAATCTCCACTTTTCTCCAGAATGTGAGTAGCAGTGCATCCTGACCTGCACCAAAAAGAGGCACAGGAACATGCTGGATTTGCAGTTTTGGGTGCTTTATTATCTAAAGTCAAAAGGGAGCATACAAAAGCTGTTTTATTTACCAAGCAAGTGCACCAGGCCTATGGGAAGTGTTGATCCTTTTTCTAAGCCGTCAGATGCTGCAGGCAGTCAGCCAGACGGCTGGGTTTTACGTGCTGGCTTAACATTTCCGAGGCTGCTGAATAATGTAGATCCTTTTCAGCGGAGCGACCTTCTCCAGAGCAGGTGTGGGTTTTTGATGTGCCGTGTGCACTGTTGCCGGAAATTTATGGTTGAGCTAGAGGTGAAAAGGGAAGGAAAACTAAGCACATTTGAATCTTTTTGGTCATGAAATATTAAAGCAGTAGAAAGCAAGCCAGTTGGTCAGGGGAATTCACAATTTTGTTTATTTCTTTCATAATACTTTTTTCCATATCATTCCAGACCCATTGGAGTATATGTTAATCTGGGTTTCCCCACACTCACAAGACATGATATATAAAGAAATATATGTAATATATGAAGAGGTTTCTAAATGTTAATAGAAAATATACATTTTTAATTTCATTTTATGATGAACTTTTTGAAGCCCCCTCATATATATGCATTTAGACACATGTTTTGAAGTGAAATTCTATTTTTTTTAAGTTTTAAAAATTTATTTAACAGGCAGAGTGACAGAGAGAAGAAACAGAGAGAGACAGCAAGATCTTCTATTTGCTGGCTCACTCTCCAAATAGATACAATTGCCAGGGCTGGAAATGGCATCCGAGTTTCCCACATGTGTGGCAGGGCCCAAGCACTTGGGCCATCCTCTACTGCTTTCCCAGGTGCATTAGCAGGAAGCTGGATCGGAAGTGGAGCAGCCGGGACTCGAACTGGACTCTTTGATATGGGATGCCAGTGTTCTAAGTGGACGCTTAACCCAATGTGCTACAGCACTGTTACTTGAAGTGCTATTTTAAATAGAAAAGGTTCATTACACTGATATCTGCATCATTCTTTTGTAACATTAGCAGTCATTCTGGCACTAGTATTCATATGTAGGTCAATGTTTTCTAAGAAGTCTGTGAACATGGGAGATGCTATCAGTTATCCAAAGATCAGAATTTTAAAACTTCTGAAAAAGTTAGGAAAAGTTAGGTTTGGTTACTAGGTTGAAGCTTATGAAACTGCTATTTTTTTGTAGGCCAAAAATGGTGTGCTATTGGTCATTCCATACGATTCAGTCCAACTAGGCTGGTGAAAAGTGGACTGAGAAATGATTCCAAGCTTTAGGTTACTGAAGTCCTCATTACTCATCTCCATAGAAGACATCTATGGGGAAACAGGCTTAATGAAATTGAGGCTTTTTGACAGTAAGAGGAATTTCCTATGGTGCCAAGAGAATTTAAGAGGGAACAGACTCTCAGTGCTGCTGGGCACCTCGCACAGTTTTCCTGGGAGAACAATTTGGACCCAGTGACCTTTTGTGCCCACTCCAGTTTTTGGTCTCCAAGCCCATCAATGCAACACACAGCTACCCAAGCCCACCCTGCTCCCCTCCCTAAGCCAGCAGAGCCTTGGCTCAGTAGGAATTCAACTGATCACTGTTGAACTTAGATACTGCTGCCTTGACAAATTAAATAGAAAGGGAGGTGAAGTGTTCATGACCCAAGCACCACATTGCTTGTGATTTGTTTGGGCCTTTCTCAGACAGGGAAAACCTATGTGCCTTACGTCTCTTCTCAGATGACTCTGCCCACGCTTCAAGCACACAGCAGTTCCTTTCATTTGCAATCTGACTCCAAAAAGTCTTTTCTTCTTGATCTTAAAAAATTAAAAGCACTAGAAAAACATAAGCTGAAATGTGTACAACGGTTATCACTAGCAGATAGATTATAGGCTATTCCTAGTCTTTGTATTTGCCTTAATTAATTGTAATTTTCTATTTTTTTTCTTTTGCCATGAGTGGGCATCAGTTATATAAGTCACGGATGATCTCTGCCAACATCCTAGTAGAACCAAAGAGAAATTGGTGAGCTATTGGCCATACACATTGTTTTAGAGTCTTAAAAAGAGCTGGTGGCTTTTCTTTTTGTCACATCAATTATCATCAGAGCACACGATGTGTGCTTTACAACGTGGTAAGGGCAGCATTTTGTTTGGTTTTCCTTTTAACATGAGAGCCAGGAGGAGACTGAAGACGTCACTGACTTGAGTAGTTTGCTTTTATTTATTTATTTATTTATTTATTTTTTTTACAGGCAGAGTGGACAGTGAGAGAGAGAGACAGAGAGAAAGGTCTTCCTTTGCCGTTGGTTCACCCTCCAATGGCCGCCGCGGCTGGCGCGCTGCAGCCGGCACACCGCGCTGATCCGATGGCAGGAGCCAGGAGCCAGGTGCTTTTCCTGGTCTCCCATGGGGTGCAGGGCCCAAGCACCTGGGCCATCCTCCACTGCACTCCCTGGCCACAGCAGAGGGCTGGCCTGGAAGAGGGGCAACCGGGACAGAATCCGGCGCCCCGACCGGGACTAGAACCCGGTGTGCCGGCGCCGCTAGGCGGAGGATTAGCCTAGTGAGCCGCGGCGCTGGCCTGCTTTTATTCTTTAGTCTCATCTCAAACAGATGGATTCTTTACTTCAGGTTAGCTTTCAATCACATTCAAGAGATTATAGGTAGGAAGAACAATTGGCAAGTTACTTAAGGTCAGCTGTAAAGAAGGGATGAGGAAGAAAACAACTAATAACTCTGATGTAACTGAAATCTGGGCAGTTAGCCAGGGTGAGGTGGGGCAGGGTGACAAGTTGGGACTGGAAGAGGGAAAGCCACGCTGACTGCTGCTGTCAAGGTGTGAGTGATGCTGGGTGGAGGCAGGATGGAAGAGGGGAGGGAGAACAACGTATTAGAGCACACGGCTGAATTTAGCGCTGACTTGGGATTTGATCCTCTTAGGTGATTGCCATAATTTAAGGGTTATTTTTTGGGGGGGCATCATTTAAAAAAAAACTGTGATAAAATATGCATAGCATGAAGTTTACCACTTCAGCCATTTCTTAATTTATAGTTCAATGGCATTAAGTAATTCACATTGTTGTGCAACCAACATTACTCTGTCTCCAAGACTTTATCATCCCGAAAAGAAACTTTGTGCCTATTAAACAGTAACTGCCCATCTTATCTTCACCTGTCCCTCACAACTTTCTACTTTATTTAAAATTTTAATTTTTAAAATTTATTTATTTCACTTTATTTGAAAGGCAGACACAGAGAGAGAGAGAGAGAGAGGGAAAGCTTCTGTCCTCTGGTTCACTGCGCAAATGCGCTGAACAGTCAGCAACAGACCAGGCTAATGCCAGGAGCCTGGATTGCATGCAGGTCTCTCATGAGGGTGGCAGGGACCCAAGCACGGAGGCCGTCACCTGCTGGTGTGTATTAGCAGGAGGCAGAATCAGAAGTGCAGGAGCTGGGACTTAAACCAGGCACTCTGATATGGCGTGTGGTGTCCTCATGCCAAACACCTGCCCCGCAGCTTTCTACTTTCTGTCTCTGGGAATCTAACTCTTCTCGGTAGCTCGTGCATGTGGAACCATGCAACATCTGTCTTTTTGTGTCTGGCTTCTGTCACTTGGCATAATGTCTTCATAGTTCAACCATGCTATACTGTGTGTCAGAATTTCCTTCCTTTGGACGCTGAAAGACATTTCCGCGAATGCAGGCGTCACATTTTGTCTATCCATTCATCCAGCCATGGGCACCTCGGAGGTTATCTCTACCTTTTGGCTGTTGTGGCTGATGTTGCTATGAGCACTGGTGAATAAATGCCCGTTTGAATTCCTATTTTCAGTTCTTTTGGGTGTATCTTCAGAAGTGGAAATGCTGGATCATATGGCAATTCTGTATTTAATCTTCTGAAGACTCACCATATTGCTTCCAGAGCGATAGCACTATTTTACATTCCCATCAATATGCCCAGGGTTAGGGGTGTGCACTTAACTCAGGCTCTAAAGAGCTGCTCAACTGTTTCTCGTGAGGGCAAGGCCTGAGGTCACAATGCCAGTGAGACCGAGGCAGCCTCTGTGGCCTGTTGGCTCTATGTGAAATAGGGTGGAAATGTCTGTGGGACAGGGGCAGGCAACAACATCAGTAAGACTGAGAAGAAAGTAGAAATAATATTCCGGCAAAGATAATAATAGCCTTAGAGAACCTACCCATAATTGTTAGGCTGCATGCGTACAGGTTGTGTAGGGGCAGTAGCAGAGGTTTATAGCAACCCTTGAAAACATGATGATAGGAGGGTCATGTTCTCTCCCATATCTCCCCATGACCCTTAATCAGGAAAATCCTGAAATAGAAGGTCTTGGGCTTGTGGGTGGAAATGTATAAAGCGCCTCCATCCAAACTGATGAAATCTGTAAACAAAATGCTAACCCCTCAATGTAGGATTTCTTTGCTGTGGCTGTCATAAAGGGGGAGAGGAAGATTTGTTCAAGCCTGAACCAGAAAAAGGTAGAAAGAGCTTTCCCAGAGCACAACCTAAAACCAGTCGGCTGTTTTACTCTGGCATCTTAACTTCAGGGAAGCTCTTGAATTTTCATCATCCATCTTTGTAAAATGATAGTATTTGTAGAAAGCCATGTGCTTCTTGTCCGGTTTATTAGGGTAAAAGAACCTAGGCTACCCCACACAGGAAGAACTGAGGGCTAGTAGGGGTGTAAAGAAGGATTCTGCCTGGCTGTGGTGCCAGCACAGGAGTAACATCAAACTTGAACGGCAGATCAGTAGAAGCTCCCATGCTGAGAATTCACCTTGATTGTGGATAGCTGTGACCTCAGAATCTATATTTTTGGTTTCATAGAAAAAGCGTAGGAAATGTGATACAGATCTCTGTGACTGGAGCTGTGAAAGAAATTCTAGAAGCAAGAAAATCAGAGCCAGGTTTTGTGTTAGGACTTGAAGTTAGTGTTAGCAGACTGGCAGCCCTTCCATTCATCTTTCCAGGGTGTTAGCTTCCAATACGAAGGTTGGCACTTAAATTTCCACACCCTGTTAAGCAAAGTGCTTAAAACAAAACATGCAGCTCGTGTCAATGAAATTCAAGGGTACTCCTGCAGTGATGAGAAGCCTCCTTGAATTTGCAGATGCCTTGGAGAGCTTTCTCTGCCCCAGGATCTCATCGCACATACATCTCAGCGACTTTGGCCATGGTGACCCAAAATCTGGCAACTTGAAAAAGTGGCCCAACTCTTGGCAAACTTCAACATTCTGCATCCTGCCACACCATAACCCAACTCCATGACGAGTGTTTTACCTGGAAACGTCTAGATTGAGAAGCTGCACAACTATTGCCCAATTTCCCTCTCATGACTGCCCAGAGAATTAATATCTTTGGCAGTATAATTCTCTTTCACTCCCTTAAATTTTTTTCCTAAGTAAATGAGCAACCATAAATCTCAGCAGAGTTACGTGACATCCAAAGGGTCAGACCACTTCTAAATTATAGGTGAGCTTTGACCTAAGGCCAGGTCTCCCAGATTTTTAGCCTATAGAGCTATCAGGTTACCTGCCTTTTCTACACAAGTATCATGCTGTGTGTCCCATCTCTGGGCAACATTAATTCTCTCAATATTTATGGTTTGGAGAGATGGAGAAGGGATAACTGGAGAGGGAAGGAGGGAAGGAGAAATGGAATGAAGAATCTTTGTGGGGCTGGTGCTGTGGCATAGCAGGTAAAGCCGCCGCCTGCAGTGTCAGCATCCCATATGGACACCGGTTTGAGTCCCAGCTGCTCCACTTCCGATCCAGCTCTCTGCTATGGCCTGGGAATGCAGTAGAAAATGGCCCAAGTCCTTGGGCCCCTGTACCCACGTAGGGGAGACCCAGAAGAAGCTCTTGGCTCCTGGCTTCGGATTGGCGCAGCTCCAGCTGTTGCGGCCAGTTGGGGAGTGAACCAGAGGATGGAAGACCTCTCTCTCTCTCTCTTTTTCTGTGTAATTCTGCCTTTCAAATAAATAAATAAATCTTTTTAAAAAAATTACCTGGACAATGAAATTAAAAGGTTATTTATAAAAAAAAAATCTTTGTGGAGGGAGGAGATGGGGCATAGTGGTGGGGAGGGATTTTAGGCTGTTTCCTATTTAGATTTATAAAATACCAATTCCTTTGGGATTTCTTCTCAATTTCCCAATTTTAAACCCCAGAGTGGTTTTAAAAGGATGTTTACTATTTTTCATCTACTTGAAAGGCAGGATGATGGTGGGGGGAGAGAGGAAGAGAGAGAAAGAGAGAGAGAGAGAACCATCCTGCACCCAATGGTTCACTTCTAAAATGCCCACAACAGCCAGGGGTGGGCTTGGCTGAAGTCAGGAGCCTGGAACTTCATTTAGGTCTCCCACATGGGCAGCAGGGGCCCAAGCACTTGAGCCATCACCTGCTGTCTCCCAGGATGCATCAGCAGGGAGCTGGATGGGAAAGCAGAGGTGCTGGGACTAGAACCAGCGCTCCAATATGAGATGTGGTATCCCAAGCAGTGGCTTAACCTGTTTGTGCCACAACTTGCTCCCCTAGGTTTGCTTAAAAATGGGGGTATTCAGAGAGGAATAGCACACAGAGAGAAATTGCCTGCCATGACTGAATGGTTGATGTGAACTTAGACTCCTAAGTGTGTGAGAAGTATGAGAAGTAACATGGGTTCTGGTGGCTGGCTGTAACTGCAGCTGAGGGTATCAACGAATGTCAACAAGTACAGTGGAAATGACCTTCCCTTCTGCTGCTGCGTTTCTCCTGACCGATTGTACATCTTTAAATCTCCATGACAATATATACTGTGGTGGGACTCACTGCAATGCAGTGCAAATTTATCAAAAGATTCCTATCTCTGTATCTCTTAAATATCTGTTTTTAATCAGCCTAATCATTTACGCAACATCTTCAAAACAAACTTTTCAAAATGAAACTACAATAAAACTGATCCTGTTTAGTAAGCTGCTTTATGAACTTTGAGAAATGCATTGCCTGTGACTACTACCACAAACCAAGACCCAGAACCGGTCCAACATCCCCTAAACTTCTCCCCGTCCCACTGCGGTCACCCCCTCCTCCCGCCCCACAGCTCCTGATGATCACAGACCTCAGCAGACCTCCAACCCAGCTGACCTCTGGGAGGAAATCCTGCTAAGCTGCAAGGTAAATATTGATCAGGACGCTTTCTCTTTGCTGTAGGGAAACATACGGATCCCACCAACCTCCCTGTTTCAGGTGGTCACGCCTGTAATCTTGGAGCTTCTTTTTGTTGCCGGCTATTGCTCTTTGCCTGGGATTCCAAGTGATGGAGGATGCACATGTGGGAGTAGAAGTTGACACACACTGCAGACTAACTGCCCTGGGTACCGTCCAAGTATCCTAGAACTTCATTTCACTCTCACAACCCTCCTGTGAAGCAGATACTATTAATCATATGCCAAGGTACAGAGGAGGAAAGAAAGCACGGAAAAATGAAGAGACTTGCCCAAGGACACACAGTGGGTGAGTGACAGCAGAGGAACTGGGTTGTCTGCGGTTGCTGCCTGAACCTGTTGTGACCAGAGATCTCTAAAGTCTTAGCCACAGCCCTTCTCCAGGAAACCCTGAGCTGAGCGTTACAAGTTTGGTAGTTTATTTATTTTAGGCACCGTGGTTGTTGCGGGTTGGATATGGTTTGTCCTCAGGGGTTCACACGGTGGAAGCTCGGTCCCCGGTGTGGCCGGGGTGTGGGTCCCTTAGAAGGTGGGGACTGGTGAGCCTCCTGCCCACCATGTGATGTCATCTAGCTGGAGGTCCACACCAGACCCAGACAGGAAGTGGTGACACCACAGGACAGCTGCACAGTTTCTACTCTAATCTTTTCCAAAGGCTCAGCTGCTGCTCCTCAGTGCCTGATTTGGGCAGCAGTAGCAAGTCTTTCTTCTGTGGAGGATGCCTAGCCCAGATCTGCAGTAAGTGTGGGAATAGCAGAAAGAGAGGTTCTTTATTACCTTGAACATGATGGACAGTCAGCCCTTGGTATCCAGATACCAAAATCCTCAGATGCCCAAGTGCCTTATGTGAAAAGACAGCTGGTACACACCCTTGTGTATACCTTAAATCATCTCCAGATTACTTATAATACTCAATGCTATGTAGATAGTTATTACTCCATATTGTTTAGGAAATTATGACAAGATAAAAAGTCTGTACATATTCTGTGCAGATGCAACTTCTTTTTCCCATCCAAAATTGCAAAATTCAGAACCCACAGACATGAAGGGCTTATGGCACCTGCTCCTAGAAGCAGAATAAGACCCTTCACTTAGGTTCCTTACAAACCTTTAGGTATTCAATCTAAAAACCCCACTGTCTGCCAGGAAAGAATTTCTGAGTTTTTTGAGAAGAAATTCAGGATACGGAGGTAAAATTAGCACTGGTCAACTGTCCTCCTAAACAGCCCTACTGGGTAAACCCGGCTGGTGCTCTGCCTTTCGCTAGCTCTACACCATGCAACCCTCGACTGCCCACCCTCAACTCAACTATTTCCTTACAGGAAGCCCGAGGTGGTGAGGAAGGCCAAAAACTTCTGACTTCCCAACACACAAGCTGCCTTTCATAAACATGCCAACATTTCTGAGAAATATCCGGGGTGGCCGGGAGAGTTCTGTGAATTCAGCGGCGTGGGTGTTACTTGATTCCCGGTCTTATTCTAGAAATGACTTATGAAAAGGACTCTTCTGGCATTTGGGAAAAACAGCTTTTCTCACCCAGACCACTTTGCACTCCTTTGCCCAAAACAGGTTAATTCACAAGGGCACCCAGCTTCCAGTTTGCAAGGAATCCCAGCAGTCTTCTGCTTGTCCCCCATGTGGCCTGCCCCCCCCAACCCCCCGGATGGATACGGGGCAGCTGTGAGGTCCCCCAGCCTCACCTATGGCTCACCTTGTCCAGAGTGTCATTCAGCACATCCAGCGTCTGTATTTTGGCAGCATTTGCAATGGCACTGTGAGGATAAAAAGAAAATCCAGAGAGAATTTTAACACTTTCCCCTCTATGAAGACTAAAGGCTTTATATAGAGGGCTGTCTCCCTGGCTTTTAAGCTTTCACTGCAGGAACATCTAAAAGACAAAAATTCTACCCACATGCTACAACAAGCTTTGTAAGCCAAGTTATTATTATGATAGCTTTGAAACATTTCATTGACGTATGAGTATAATAAATATAGAGAAAATGCACACACGGAGTGCCTGGAAATTTTGGATTCAAGGAGAATGTGAATTGTCCATGACTCTTTTGAAGCTCCCGTGTGTTCTAAGTGTACAGCTGGGTGAATATTCACAAAACTGAAACACCAGTCAAGCTGGCTGTCCTTATGGAGACCCACAACCTTGACGTACAGCTCCACGCCTTGGTTCTGACTGGTTTTGTGCTCATGAAATGAATCATCCACGTGTACTCTTTTGTGAAAGGCCTCTTTCTCTCAGGCCAAATTATTTTGTAGGAGAGTTTCAATCAGGCCTGAATATGCAGTACAATATCTTGAGCGTGGGGATTTTTTTTTCTGGATGGTAGATGTTATTAGGAGATGGATATAGGTTGATAATGCTTAGGAATTTATTTTTATGATACAATATATATTTCAAATGCATCCTCCTGAATAAGTTCCTAAGAAGATGCAAAGAGAGGTGCTGTCCCTGAACTTGAGGCACTCCTATACCCTGTCCCCTGCACATGTCAGGGACAGAGGTGGATTTGCAGTGGAGGGAGTAAGGCTTAAGCCTCAAACTCTTTCCAAGGCCCTGGTTATTTTTGTAATTTTGATTCTTTTTCTTTCAAAGAACCCTCAAATCTTATAAACTTCATGCCCCCATGGAACCTGTATCTGTCCCTGGTAATTACAGCAAGAGAAAGCTACCTGTAGCAGTCCAATTCCAATGTTTTAATGACTATTAGAAAACAGTAGGGTTTTAAAGAAGGGTCTAGTCTCCACTTGACCACTCTGTGGCCAGCTTCTCCACCAGCATTATTTGGCAGATGTGAAAATTAGTGGTAAGGCCCCATGCCTGAGGTACAGAGCAAGGCAGATGTTGCCTGGTGGCTGTCTACTAGGAGTCAGTTCCAAGACAAGCTTCTTCGGCTCCTGACTGTTGGCCTGGGCATTTGGGTCAGGGTCACAATAAACAGGGCCTATGCACTGGGCAGGTTGGAGAAACAGAAGAGGCTCTCAAAATTAACCAGTTTGCCATTCACCAACCGTTTGCCGTCCCAGAGTGCATTCACTATTCTAGGAACTGTCCTTGGGGCTGGGCCAGGAGATGAAGAACCCATGACCCCCACGCGTGAGGGTGCACACATTGGCTTTCAGCATTGTGAATGTTATTTTCTAGTATCAGAAGAAGCAAAAGACTGACTGCCAGTGGGTCAGACCAGCATTTCAACCTAAAGCAAGGGGAGCAAGGGACTTGAAATGTTCCAAATACTCCTTCCCAGAAATCGGGAAGAAAACTTTAAATGATGTTTAAAATTTTTATATGAAAGAGTCAAAGACATTTCATAGCCCGTTTCTCACCACATTCTCTCTTTGAAAGTGGTGCTATTAAAATCCTAAGGAGGTGCCTGGAGCATCCTCTCTAATCGACTCCTTTTGAATCGTTCACCCACTGATCTACAGAAACATCCTAAAATTAATAGTCTCTGCAGCACCCCGTCACGCTACTCCGAGGAAACAGCTCCGCGTGCTTCTTCTGGAAATGCACTTGCTTTCCTTAGCCAACACTTAGAGTGGTTGGACAGTTTCTGAACTGGACCCAGCCCGAAGCTCTCTGCTTAGTTCTGGGACTTGCACAGTATGTCAAGGTCACGGAGAAAGGAGTGGGGAGAAACCAGCCTCAGTACCTGTGTGCCTCCGGCTATGCCAAATATAGTGGCCATTAGCTTTCTAAGTGATTGAGGGATGAATTTAAAACAAAAAAGAAAAAGGAATTTATTTTTAATTCAGGAGATTTACTTCAGCAGAAAGCATATTACAAAAACAGGGCCAGCCCAGGGATAATATTTTAAAGGCTGATCTGAAAATAGGCTACAGGGATGTGTGTCAGCTTGGGATGTATTGAGAACTGTGCCTTTTAAGTAGGAGGCAGCTGCGCCGGCCACAGAGAGGAGGAGGATGGTGGGGGTGGGGTAGTGATGGTGGTCCAGAGAGAGGCTACAAGATGGTAGGCACCCACCTCTCCCAGACCCCCCAAATCATCACCAGCCTTGACCCCCACACCACCCTGGCCAACTGCCTCCAAATGCAGAGGAAGTCTTGCTTGTCCTAAATTAACCTCTGGAACCCACATCATTCAAAACTCCTTGACAAAGAAGAAACCAAGCAACGCCTACCTTGTCTTCTCTAATCCGGATTTTTTGCTTTGTCTCTCCAAGACTCCAGTGTCTTGTTTTTTGGAAATTCGCTTTCCTCCAGCCTTCACTATAAACAAAGGGGCATCAACACGGAAGTTAGAACGCCAGCGAGGGCTTACTCTCTTACTCAAAGTAGGAATTCATATTTGAAAAAGTTTTCAGCATTATATATTTAAAGATCTAAACTTTTATCCAAAACAGTACAATAAAAAGAGAAAAATACTATTTCAAGCAAATAAGGTGGGGATGGAGGGAGGGCTGAGGTCTGTTTGTTTATGCTGGGAGAGCAAGCAGCAGGTTAGGCCTTGGACTGGGGGGGTAGGGAGGGAATAGCAACATACTCCCTTAGGCATTTCACTGGGAAACATTTTCTTGTTGTAATCGAACCAATTACATTCTTCAGGATAGCAGCCCACAATCACAATGTGACCTTCTGTTTTCCCACAAGATTAAAGCTTTTGCATGACTTGCATTCTTTTTTTCCAACCAAAGCTTTCCAAAGCCAGATACTGAGAAGTGAGCAGAAGTCAGGGTGTGCAGTGATAAGAGGCGTTTAATTCAACAGAGGGGCTTCTGATTCCAGCAGGTACCCACCTTCCACCCCAGCCCCCAACCTCCCGTGTTGGTGGAGCGCAGATACTCTACTGAGTAATTAAACTGCATTAATAATCCTGCCATTCAAGAGATCAATTAGTGTTAATTAGGCTACAGATGACCTAACAGCAATTCAAGTGTTTAGGAATGTCAGATGAAATCAACTTTTGAAAAGGAACAGCCTATTTCAGACTGCAGTCAAAGCAAATACTTTTTCTTGTTCCCAGGAAATTTGCACGTCTAAAATCAGACAAGCTCAAAAGAGGAAGAGCTAAACGGACATTGACTTGTTTGAACCTGTTAATTCTTTTTGTGGAAATGGCAAATTGGCAATTTTCTAAAATAGTTTCCAATACAGTGAAAAATAAAGAAACCAGCTCCATTTCCAGGTAAAGAAAACTAGTTCTGTATCTCATCATCCCCATATCTTGTGAGTTGACTTCATTTTTGTTTTGCAAAAATGATTTATGTTTTGGTTATGTAATACTTGCACAAGGCACACTACTCAAAAGTATAAAAAGGTACGTAATCTCCCGCCTACCATTATTTCTTCAGCTCACAGATCACCTCTCTACATACTACTAATGTCACAAGTTTCCTATGTCTTAATCTGCAGACATTCCATGCATAAAACTATATTTTCTATATATAGGCTTTAATACATAGGATGGCAGGCAGCATAAGATACTCATTATTCTGCATATCTGAAAAAATTTTATTTATGTCATTAGAAAAGGAGAGAGGAAAAAAAGGGAGAGAAATCTTCGATCTGGTTCATCACCCAAATGTTTGTAATAGCCTGGACTGGGCCTCCCATGTGGAATTCCATCTGGGTTTCCCATGTGGGTGGCAAGGACGCAAGTACTTGAGCCATCATCTACTTCCTCCCAGGGTGTGTATTAGCAGGAAGCTAGATTGGAAGCAGAGGAGTAGGAACTTGAACCAGGCACTCTGATTTGACATGCAGGCATCACAAGGCATCTTAACTACAGTGTCAGATGCCATGCCTATATCTTGTTTTCTTTTTTTTTTTTGTTCTTTAACCATGTATTTCAGAAAGTTCCATATCTATATCTAAACTATATCTATATCTATATTTTAACATCTGCTTTGAAATTTTATTATATGAACATTCTCTGTTTGCTTAACCAGTTCCTTAATAATGGACATTTCATGTGTTTCTAATCCATTGCTATCAAAAATAATGCTGCAGTAAATACCCCCTTTATACACATAATTTTGCACACATACAAATACATTCATTGAATACATTCTGAGAAGTGATCTTGTGCTTAGGAGGTGCATTTGGAATTTTGTGAAATCTTCCTGGATCTCCCTTTGCATGGTTAGCACTGGTTTACAGTCTCAGCAGGCACCATGGCAGGGATTGTTCTCACACCCCCCTGGCAACAACATGAGCTACAGAATGTTTGATTGTGTCAACCAATAAGTTAGGAAATAAAGATGTTTGATTGCTCAATTTGCATTTCTCATTAATGGATGAAAAAGCGTTTTAGAGTCTTTTTTATGAACTGTTCAATTTTTTTTTTCCCACTGGATTGCTAGTTTAAAAAATTAATTTATAATTAATTATTTTTATTTACTTCAAAGGCAGCAAGACAGGGACAAATTTGCCCATCTGCTGGTTCACTCCTTAAATATTTGCAACAACCAGTGCTGGCTCAAACCGAAGCTAGGAGCCAGAAATCTCAATGCAGGTCTCCCTTGTGGGTGGCAGGGACTTAAGTACTTGAGCCATCACGTGCTGCTTCCTAGGGTATACACTAGCAAGAATCTGGAATCAGATGCAGAGCCAGGACTTGAATCTGAGCACTCAAACATGGGCTGTGAGTCCCAAGTAGCATCAGGAGTACTTAAGTACTCCTGTGCAAACACTTGCCTCTAAAACTTGTTTATAGTAGCTGTTTGTGAGATGTCTTGCAAATAGAAAATATTTTATTGTATCAATAACTAGCTTTATTTTATTGAAGACTTAAAATATTATTTGAGAGGCACAGAGAAGGTCACTTCCCTAGTTTATTCTTCAGATACCAGCAAGGGCCAGGGCTAAACTAGGTTGAAGCTGGGAACCAGAAACTCAATCCACATCTCCTTGTAGGTGCAGGGACCTAACTACTTGATCCAGTGCCTCCCAGGCTCTGCATTGGCTGGAAGTTGGAGTCAGGAATCAGAAATGGGAATTGAACCTAAGCACTGTGATGCAGAATGTGGTGTCTTAACTTTTAAGCTAAATACCTGCTCCTATTAATGATGCTTTTGCTATGGTGAAACCCATTTGAACTTTTCTTTTTATTTAATTAATTAATTAATTAATTTATTTTTTGACAGGCAGAGTGGACAGTGAGAGAGAGAGACAGAGAGAAAGGTCTTCCTTTTTCCATTGGTTCACCCCTCAATGGCTGCCATGGCCGGCGCGCTGCGGCCGGTGCACAGGGCTGATCTGAAGCCAGGAGCCAGGTGCTTCTCCTGGTCTCCCATTCGGTGCAGGGCCCAAGCACTTGGGCCATCCTCCACTGCACTCCCTGGCCACAGCAGAGAGCTGGACTGGAAGAGGAGCAACCCGGACAGAATCCGGTGCCCTGACCGGGACTAGAACCCGGGGTGCCGGCGCTGCAGGCAGAGGATTAGCCTATTGAGCCGCGGCACCGGTCCTTGAACTTTTCAATGTCTTATGGGTTTTGTGTCATCAAGGAAATCTAATTTTTATAACATAATTCCACATTTTCTTTTGGAAATTTTATAGTTTCATTTTGTACAATCTTTGATTATGTATTTAAATCTTTGATCCTATTAGAATGCATACTGTATAAACTATGGGAAATTATGCAAGATTCTTTTCAGATGATTGCAATTATATTGAAAACTCTGTATTTTGTCTATTGATTCAAAATGCTTGGGCTGGTGTTGAGGCATAGCAGGTAAAGCTGCCAACTGGGATGCCAAGATCCCATATGGGTGCTGGTTCATGTCCTGGCTGCTCTACCTCCTATCCAGCTCCCTAGTAATGGCCTGGGAAAAGCAACAAAAGATGACTGGGTATCTGGGTCCCTGCTACCTATGTGGGAGACCCAGGTGATGTGCCTGGCTCCTGGCTTTGGCCTTGCTCAATACAGGGGAGTGAATCAGCAGATGGAAGATCTTTTTCTCTGTCTCTCCCTCTCCCTCTGTATCTCTGACTTTCAAAATAAATAAATAAAATCTTTAAAAGTGCTATTTTTATTATACACTAAATTCCTGTATATTTTTACATGTGTGCTTATAAATGCATATATAATTATGCCAACATACACAAGTACGTTTGTCCTTTTTAGACTTCCATTTTATTCCCCTAATTTGATTGCTCCTGTGTCATTACAATACCATTTCAATTATTATGGCATTATGCTTTAGTATCTGGCAAAATTAGTCTTTCTTTGCATAATTTTACAAGCTATTCTTATTTATTTTTGTACCTGAACTTTAGAAAGAGCCAACTTTAAATGTATACAGTTTCTTTTAAAAAGTATTTATTCTTTTATTTATTTGAAAGAGTTAGAGAAAAGGGAGAGAGACAGAAACCTTTCATCCACAAGTTTACTCCCCAAATGGCTGCAACAGCCAGGACAGAGCCAGGCCAAAGCCAGAAGCCAGGAGCTTCATCTAGGTCTCCTATATGGTGGCAGGGTTCCAAACCTTGGACCTTCCTCTGCTGCTTTTCCCAGACCATTAGCAGGGAGCTGGATTGGAAGTGGAGCAGCTGGGACATGAACCAGCACCCATAAGGGAAGCCAGCATCACAGGCAGTGGATTTACCTGCTACACCACAAGGTCAGCCCCTAAATATACAGACTTTTTAAAGAAAAAAATTCGTATCATCATGTTTCTGTGGCTTTCTATTCATTAACATGGATTCTTTTCCATTGTTCACATCTTTTTGGGTTACTGATTTTTTTGGGTTACTGACTGATCCGAAGCCAGGAGCCAGGAGCTTCTTTCGGGTCTTCCATTCAGGTGCAGGGTCCTAGGGAATTGGACCATCTTCTACTGCTTTCCCAGGCCATAGCAGAGAGCTGGATCGGAAGTGGAGCAGCCAGGACTCGAACCGGCACCCATATGGGATGCCGGCACTGCAGGTGGCGGCTTTACCAGCTACGCCACAGCGCCGGCCCCCAGATTATTATTTTTTAAAAAGATTTGTTTATTTATTTATTTGAAAGGCAGAATGACAAAGATAGAGAGTAAGAGAGAGAGAGAGAGAAATAACTTCCTTCAGGGGTTTATACCCCTCTCCCGTACCCCCACTAGTGGCCTAAACAACCAGGCCTGGCAAGACTGAAGCAAGGAGGCAGGAACTCCATCTCGGTCTCCCACATGGGTAGCAGGGACCCAAGTACTCGGGCCATCATCTGCTGCCTTCCCAGGTGCATTAGCAGGAAGCTAGATCAGAAGTAGAGTAGCTGGAACTCCCCAGCTTTTCAGGGAGAAAGAGGTCTTTCTTTTGCCATTGGTTCACCCTCCAATGGCCGCTGCGCTGTGGCCGGCGCACCGTGCGTATCCAAAGGCAGGAGCCAGGAGCCAGGTGCTTCTCCTGGTCTCCCATGGGGTGCAGGGCCCAAGGACTTGGGCCATCCTCCACTGCACTCCTGGGCCACAGCAGAGAGCTGGCCTGGAAGAGGGGTAACCGGGACAGAATCTGGTGCCCCAACCGGGACTAGAACCCGGTGTGCCGGCGCCGCAAGGCGGAGGATTAGCCCACACCTTGGATTTCTAAAACATAGTTCTTGTTCCAAATTTGTTCTGTAAGCAGTCTCTCTTGGTCATCTATGTGTAGCAGAAAGAAGCAGAAGTTAGTATATCCATTGTATGAATGGATGCACTGCGAATTTGATGAAGACTCTCACTACACTGGGGTAGCTGAGCCAGATGGAATCAGGTTGTGGGAGCGTCACCTGCAGAGCTCTGCTGGGAGCACCTGTCCATTGCTCTCCCAGAATCTAGATGAACCATCATTTACAATGTAGCACAACCAAGTTCTTGCCTGTTTTGTTTATGCCAGAGAAGTCAAACTCAAGAGAACTTTTCAAGGTGTCATTCTATCCAGATGAACCCATTTAAATTTGCAAATATTTACGTAATTCCATGTTTGGAATTGTATTACCTCTGGAACCCTTATAGAAAGACCAAGTGAATTGAGTAAAAGGAAAACATAAACTAACATTTTAACAGGCCCTGGAGTACAAGTATTAGGTAAGACTTTAAGTCCTTTCAATAAATACAATGAATAAGAGTCAGAAAATATAAGCGAGAAATGTTCTTTTGGATAATTTCATCGGAAACCCTAATATATGTGAGGAAAATGAAGCTTTGCTTTCCTGTCTCTGAATAAGTTATACTGTTGTGGTTTATAACTTAAAAATAGACTTTTAAGTTTAGAATTCTAATAATTTTCCAGTTAATATTTCTTAGACGTTTTGCAGTTTTTGTTGGAGAGTAGTTAAGATACAGTCAAACCTACTAGGAAAACTAGACTTCTGTCAGTGATCCATGGAGAATGATGTGAAAGTGGAAAGACACGGAAGTCTAAGTAAACTCTGGCTTGCTTAGACTTCTAGAGGAAGGTTTTAATGAAAAGTCTAGACATTTGCAAAGGCCTTTGCATTCACAGTTGATTTATCAGGAAATGTTACTTTATTGTATTTTTACAATTTTCATGTATTTGTGAAAGGTGGAGGGACGAGAGAGAGAGAGCTCTCCCACTCTGCTGCTCCACTCCCCAAATGCATGCAACAGCTGGGTGTGGGGCAGGCCAAAGCCAGGAGTGGGAGCTCAACCCGAATCAACTAAGTAAATGGCAGAGACCCGAGTAATTGAACCTTCACCTCCTGCTGAACAGGAGCAGGCAGCGCGTTGGAGCAAGAGGCCCACAGCCCTCAGCAATAGGCTGGCGTGGTTCCCCAGTCCCAGTGTCGCTGCCCCCTGGCTGAGTGGATTTCGGCAAGTCCCTCGAGCTCACCGGGTCTCATTTTGCCCCACTGTGAAGCATCGCCCTTCTGTAGGGTTCTGCTACATCTAGAAGTTTCTGTCCAGGTGCACAGTCAGCATTAAGCATTAAGCTGTCGTCTCAGCCATCAAACCTCATCTCTACCAAGGACTTGAGGCAGTGGGTCTCACGACCCCTCCTTTGCCCCGTCAGTTGACTTGGGCCAATGGAATTGACAGAATCAAGTTTCTGGTAATTTTGTTTATCTGTTTTTAATAACATTGACTCTTACGCAGATATGGTGGTTGTCCGTTTTCCAAGTTAGTTTGACACCTGGGGATGCCTTTCTCACCAAACTTTCCTCTCTTTAGTGAGCCAGAAAACTTTTCTTTCTAGGGGTTCAGGTGTGACCCCCTGCAGGTATAATTCATGGGACTTACACTAAATTAAAAAGTGCAAAGGATGTAGAAAATCTCATTAACTGCTGCTTTTCTTTTCTTTCTATTCATTGTGCATTTGGCTTCTCAGGATCGCCTTCTACTCATACATTTTTGATCTTGTGGTTCATGTATTGAGGTTCTTGTGAAGCTAAGAGCAAGGCAAATCAAAAAAAAAAAAAAAAAAAAAAAAAAAGCAGAAAATTCAAAGCTGTGCTTCCTAGAGCCCTGGCTCCTTCATGTCTGGTATAGTCTTGCTTCACAGCATAAATGTACAACCAGGGCTAAGTGAGGTGAAATATATTATATTAATATACATAAAAGAAAACCCAGTAAGAGCACTCCACATGCAGGTGGGAGGAGTTCCGGCTGGCTGCCTTCTGAGTGGTTTCATTTTTAACCGGGAAGGGGCGGGCGTGAGCATCTTTTCCACGCAGGTTCCTTCTGTTCTGCCTGCTGCAGTCGGGCCTAACGCAGCTGGACTATCAGGGATGTCTGAAAACTGGGGAGAATAATTTCTGCTGACAGTAACTTGATTTCCTAGACCTTCATTTTATGGGGTCAACATTGATGTGCCAGGACACTTTACGTAGGCCAGCTCTTTTAATCATCACAACAACAGACTGATGTCAGATTGCTGTTATTCATTATACCCTGTTACAGAGATGAGAACACTGAAGCTCAGAGTTGTGGAATTAACTCAGGGTTCGAACTCAGGTCTGCCCCATTTCGCAAGGCCACGGTGCACGTTCCCATCGTATTACATCAGCTTTCCACTTTCAGGGACCTGTATTTTGCTTATAAAAGCCAGCTGAAGATTTAATAGAATTTTGGCACCTAATTATTTCTGTTCCATAAATAAAGTTTTGCACCATCACAAACTGATTCAGATTTCAAATATGTAGCAAGACAAGCTGAAGGGTGAGGCTTCTTTGTTCTCCGCGCTCAGTGGGGAGGCAAAAGTCTGCCTTCATCTCCATTCTAATTATCCAAAACCTCTTATCTGCAGTGTCACAGTTCATAATAATTAATTGTCATGCCAGAGGCATTGTGACATGCTTGATGGAGCCGTGGTGAGCTATGTACACAGAGTAATTAGCAACCATTAGTGGCAGGGACAGAAAGTTCCTGGTGGTTTCATTCAGACTTCCATTTGGTTAAGTTTATCTCTGTGTTCTTTGGGCAGAAAAGTCTTTTAGCAAATCGGGCTTTAGCTGGAGCATTTTAGGAAAGATTGGTGTGGAAGTGGCGGGAAGAGAATCATGCTCTTTTTCACGGTGTCTTTATCCACCTAATAGGCTTCTCTTCTAGGAATCTGCGTATGTCAGCATAGTTCCTGGCCATTAGTTAGCATCATTAACGTTAAATATTGATAATGTTAAATATGGCTAAACCCAACTGCAAATATAAAATGTCACAGGCATGCCAAAGGGAACAGGACACGGTGTCTACAATGGGACATGCAGGCTTCGCACAGATTCTGACTCTTTCTCACCTGGGCTGCCCACCAGAAAGTAACCAAAAGGGTTGACTTGCTGCTTCGTCAAGGCTGTGTCTCCATCACCCTCTGCAGCAAACAGGGTGCAAATAACCTGGGCTTGGAAGCGCCGCAGAATGACCCCACACCGACTACATTTTGTAAATACAGAAAGGCAAGAGTAAAGCGGCCAAACTTTTCAGGTTTTTTTCTTAAGGAAAAAAGAAGGAAGGCAGAATGAAAGAACATAAAACTGACTAAAAATAAGCCTGTCTGCCTTCGCCAATCTACATGAACATATGGTTAAGTACAATAAAAGGAATTTCCATATTTCAGAGTTGATATAAATAGTATAAATTATTAAGAAACTGCAGGTGCTTTGCCAAACACCTTCGTACCTAACTTTTCCAGTCAGTTCCCCTGCTCCTTGTCTCTGTATCAAAAAGCGCTTCTCAGCTTGTTGACAGGCAGTGTCCCTGCTAACACTGCGCAAGCGCAGAGCCTGGGGCAGGCGGGGGACTGGCGCTCGCTGTCGGGGCAAAAGCTCCTTAGGTGAGGAGTGAGGTCATGTACAGGCATCTTGGGCAGACTGAGATTAACAGCTGGCGAAACTCTAGGGAGGAAGGTTTCCAGGGTAGTAAATCATCTGCCTGGTAGGCTTGTATCGCTGCCAGCCCACAGCCCCGAAGGGAAGGGGGTCACCTCCCTCCTCATCTCTCCTCAGAACTACCCGGATCCCTTCTACCTATTTGTGTAGGGTTTAGTTCAGCTGAGACCTGACGAATCTATAGGTGGCTTTACGCACAAGCTAAAAAGCATCAGATGTAGGAGGAATTCAGGTTGCATGAAATTAAGCATGGGCCGGGATGCTGCTGTTGGAGACACTGCAGCAGCTGTTTGCAGGGTGGAGGGGCTGCAGCAGCTGTTTGCAGGACAGGGGTGGATGTGGGGGGCAGCCTACCTGCAGGAGGATGCCCCCCTTTCAGCGGCGAGAGCAGGACTTGCACTTCGGTTGCCATAGTGTGTGCCAATGCGGCGCTGGTGCTCTGGAGGCTGGGTGCCAGCTGTGGCTGCCCCACCGCACCCTGGCTTTTTATGGGGAGGGGGGCGGGGCCCCTTAAGGGCATTGCTGAGCAGCAACAGGGCTGGTCAACCAGCTCTCTGGGAACCTTCACGTCCTTGGTAAGTTTTCTCTTACAAGAAAACTTTCTTTTTCTCTTCACTGGGAAGGCAGGGTTGATGCCGCAGGAGACGGGAAGCTCGTTCATAGGAGGAAGGGCAGTGGTGGAGTTCGGTGGAATTCTTTTTCTCTCCCAGTGTTCATTGCTCAGGTATTTATGTTTACTTAGAGGATCTTTGTCATACACTAGGTGACAAGGAGGGCAAGGAAAGATCTGTGCTTCAAGATGTCTGCGGTCTTTCTGGAGATACAATCATTGACAAAGTGCTAAGTCTTTGTCCCAGGCTTTGTAATTAAAGGCATTGATCTAAGAAGATACCTGAGATGTGAACAGAAGGTTCTGTGCAAGGATAGTCACCATTCTGGTGTAGTTGTTTCTCTTTTTTTTTTTTTTTTTTTAAGTATTGATGGATACCAACATAAACATCCCAAGATACAGAGGAATAAATATACAGCCATGAGAGTACTATGTAGTACACATCACAAACCATATTTTCAAATAATACTTAAGGATGTGAAATATTAATGAAAAGGTGGTGAAGGAGTAGGGTGGGTGTTTAGCCTAGCGGCTGAGATGCCTATATCTCATATTGGAATGCCTGGGTTTGGTACCTAGTTTCAGATCCTGATTCCAGCTTCCTGTCAGTGCAGATAAGAGGGGGCAGTGGAGATGGCTCAAGTAATTGGGTTGCTGCTGCTCATGTGGGAGACCTGGACTGAGTTCCCAGCTCCTGGCTTCTCTCTGCCCAGTCTTGGCCATTGTGGGCATTAGGGGAATGAATCAGTGGATGGCAGCTTTCTCTCTCTTGCCCTGTCTCTCTTTGTCTCTGCCTCTCAAATAAATAAAAATTTAAAAAAGAAAAAAGTACAATTTTAAACCTAGACATTATTATAGATTCTGTGCCAATCAAAATTTAGCATATGGCAGATACTTAGCAATCTTTCTTTGTTCTTCAATATGATTGAAAACTTCTGCTCTTCAAAAAACACTGTTAAGAAAATGAAGACAAGCCGCAAACAGGCATAAAATATGTACGGACTACACTGACGATGCAGCAGTGACATCTAGAATAAGGAATTCGTACAACTCAATGAGAAAGCAGACAACCCAATTAAAAATCTGGCAGAAGATTTGACTTAAATTTGTGTCACTGCAACAAAATACTCAAGGCAACTACCTTCATAAAGATGAAAGGTTTATTGAGCTCATGGTCTGGGAAGTTCAAATCCAAAGTTCAAATCTCACTGGAGCAGCCTCTGGTAAGAGTACAGATGATGGGCATGTACTGGAGCAAGTGTTCACATCTGAATCAGGAAGCAGGGAGAGTGTGGACCCATACTTAGGGTTTTATAACAGTGCTGTCATTAGAACTCAAGAGGGTCACATCAGAACTACCTAACAAGGGCACGCCCCCCCCCCCAAAGACCTAAGAACTTCCCACTAAACTCCATCTCCTAAATATTGCACCACCTCCCAATAGCACCACTTTCAGTACCAAGCCTTTTTTTTTTTTTTTTTTTTTTTTTTTGACAGGCAGAGTGGACAGTGAGAGAGAGAGACAGAGAGAAAGGTCTTCCTTTTGCCGTTGGTTCACCCTCCAATGGCCGCCGCTGCAGCCGGCGCACTGCGCTGATCCTGGCAGGAGCCAGGAGCCAGGTGCTTTTCCTGGTCTCCCATGGGGTGCAGGGCCCAAGCACCTGGGCCATCCTCCACTGCACTCCCTGGCCATAGCAGAGAGCTGGCCTGGAAGAGGGGCGACCGGGACAGAATCCGGCGCCCCAACCGGGACTAGAACCCGGTGTGCCGGCGCCGCAAGGTGGAGGATTAGCCTATTGAGCCACGGCGCCGGCCCAGTACCAAGCCTTTAATACATGGGCATTTATGGGACTGGCAGCACCTAAACCATAGCAAGATTCAAGCAATACTTTACAAAGTAGGGATACTGAGAGTAGCAATGACATAAACACATGCACAACATCATTGATCATTAGGAAAATGCAAATTAAAACTACAGTGAAATATGGCCTAAGTATTAGAAAACCTCCAAAAAAAAAAAGGAAATACAGAATGCTGGTAGACATTTGGCTTAGTGATTAAGGTGCCGCTTTGTAAGCTTGTATCTCATATTGTAGTTTCTGGATTCAAATTCTAGCTCTACCTTTCATTCTAGCTTGTGCAAATGTGTACCTTGGGAGGCAGCAGGTGATGGCTCAAGTACTTGGGTCTCTGCTACCCACATGGGAGACCCGGACTGAGTTGAGACTTTGGCCTGGCCCAGCCCCAGCTGTTATAGGCATTTGGAGAGTTAATCAGTAGATGAACTCTCTCTCTCTCTCTCTCTCTCTCTCTCTCTGTTTCTCTATCTTTCAAATATATGAAATAAAAATAAGCTCCTGGTGAAAAGAAGAACAACTGGAACTCTCATACATTACTGGTGAGAATGCCAAAAAGTAAAGTTATTTTGGGAGTCAGTTTGGCATTTTCTTATAAAATTCAACATAGGAACACACTTAGTATGTACAATATGACTGACAATCCAATTGGTGGGAATTTTCTCATGATAAATGAAAATATACGTACACTGTAAATCCTGTGTACAAGTGTTTATAACAACTCTCTTCATAGTTGCCAATAGTTAGGCACAACCCAAAAGTCTATTGACTATGGATAAACAGATTGTGGTGTATCCCTGTAAAAGAATATACAGATGAATCTTTTTTTATTATTTATTTGACAGATAGAGTTAGACAGTGAGAGAGACAGAGAAAGATCTTCCTTCCGTTGGTTCACCCCTCAAATGGTCACTACAGCCGGAGCTTCACGGATCCGAAGCCAGGAGCCAGGTGCTTCTTCCTGGTCTTCCATGTGGGTGCAGGGGCCCAAGCACTTGGGCCATCCTCCACTGCCGTCCCGGGCCACAGCAGAGAGCTAGACTGGAAGAGGAACAACCAGGACTAGAACCCAGTGCCTATATGGGATGCTGGTGCCGCAGGCAGAGGATTAACCGTGAGCCACGGCACCGGCCCCATAGATGAATCTTAAAATCATTGCCCTAAATGAAAGAAGCCAGCCAAAGGAAAACTACTTACTATTTAATTCCACATATATGATATACTTGAAAAGTTGAAACTCTAGGAACAGAGAGCAGTGACTTCCAGAGAAGGGAGGTTTAACTTCATAAATAGAAGGGAATTTTGGGAGTGATGGGAATACTCTCTATCTGATGGTAGTGGTGATTATGTGACTCATGAATCATATGAAAATGGTCAATTTTACTTTGTGCAAGACATCCCTCAGTAAACAACAAAACCATATGTTGTTGAATGGTTGTACTCCAAAATGTGGAGTGGTTGGCTGGAGGTAGGAGTATTCTCTGTTGAATTTTGATCTTTCAGTTAGCTTGCATTATTTGTAAAACTAATAAAGGTGAATCAAAGTTTTTTGGAGGAAAATAAGCTCTGACATTGTGACAGAGGCAGGTACATGCAATGGGAACAAAGAGATTGGAGGGGACAGCACTGTGGCATAGTGGGTAAAGTTGCTGCCTGCAGTGTCAGCATCCCATATGGGTGCTGGTTCAAGTCCCAGCTGCTCCACTTCTGTTCCAGCTCTCTGCTATGGCCTGGGAAAGCAGTAGAAGATGGCCAAGATCCTTGGGCCGCTGCACCCATGTGGAAGACCTGAAAGAATCTCCTGGCTCCTGGTTTCTGATTGGCACAGCTCTGGCTATTGCAGCCAACTGGGGAGTGAACCAGCGGATGGAGGACCTCCGTCTCTCTGCCTCTCCTTTTCTCTCTGTGCAACTCTGACTTTCATATATATAGGCTGAGATGCCTATATCTCATATTGGAATGCCTGGGTTTGGTACCTAGTTTCAGATCCTGATTCCATACATATATATATGTACATATATATACACATATATGTATATATATGTATATGTATATATATATAAATACATCTTAAAAAAAAAAGAGAATGGAATGGTCATATCATCCAGCAAATATTTTGTGAGTGGCCCTCTCCAAGAGTGCTGGACTAGGAGTCAGGGTTTAGGGGTGACAATACCCCCTGCTTTCAGCAGCTCTCTCAGTCTTATGGGGTTGAAGATGAGCAGAAGGCTAAGAGGATCCCTTTTACAGTTGACAAGTTTGGTTGGGGCATTATTCAATAGAAATTTCTGTGATGGTGGCAATGTTCTGTATCTGCTCTGACCAAATGGCAGCCACAGCACATGTTGATCTGAGTCCTTCAAATGTGGCTGATTCAACTAAGGAACCGAATCTTCAATTTCTTAAAAATGAATGGTTTAAATTAATTTTAATATAAATAGCTATAGGTGGCTTATGGCTAAGGTGTGGGATAGCACTGGTGTTTAGCTGAAAACCTAGGAGCGTGATGGTTTGTAGCCCAGGTCTCATTGACTTTCCTGTATACTTGTGAGCTGCAGAAGGTAAGGAGGAAATCAAAGGGCGGCCGGCCACCCTTTGGGAGAGTCTACACCCAGGACAGCCCAGCTGACATGGAGGACCAAGTGCTTGCACCAGGGCGTGATGACACCCACTGAACTTCCATTCTCAGTTCTACTCCCCGCATTCCCTGACGTTTAAAGCAGGAATCAGAGACTATAGGCTGAACATTCCTAATATGAAAATGCAAAACCTGAAATGTCCCCAAATCTGAAACTTTTTGGGTGCCAACATGATGCCACAAGAGGAAAATTATACAAACTTTGTTTCATGCACAGACTTATTAAAATTATTGTATAAAAGTAGCTTCAGGCTATGTGTATAGGTATGGAACATAAATGAATTTAGTTTTTAGGTTTGGATCTCATCCCCAAGATTTCTCATTTTGTTTGTGTAAATTTGCTAAAATCTGAAAACAAATCCAAAATCCAAGACACTTTTGGTCATATGTGTTTCGGGTAAGGGATTTTCAGCCTGTAATAAGTAGTATGCCCACTTGTCCTACTTGGTTTTTTGTTTTTTTTTTTTCTGTACCTACAAATGGAAAATATCTAAAAGCTGATATTAGGGTTGTAAAAAGGTTATGTAACAGTGGCATAATCTACAAAGACACAAGCCACCTGCTTCACTGTAAAAATATGAGTAACAGGGCAAAGGGAACATGAGGCCAACATGTTTCCTCCTTCCTGCACACTCTTCCCCACTCTGCCACCAGAGTGGCAACCCTGACTTCTTGGTGTGTGTTTAGGACTTCAGGAAGCCCCTCAGGGCATTGGGGTCTTCCCTTGCTTTTCTTTATTTCAGTCATTAAAAACTCAGGCCTGTTTTGCACCTGGTGAGCTAAGTGGAGTCCAGGTTGTTTAGCTTGGGGGATGCACTAGAGCTCCCGGTAGGATGAAAGTCCCATGGCAGGGAGGTAACATGTTATTATTCTTTAAGTGCGCTTATAAACCTCTCTTTAAAAGAGGCATTTGTCCAGTTAACTGCAATAAGAGAGCAGCTCATGGCAGGACCAAAGTGTCTGGAATCGTACGTCGTAATGCTAAAAGCCTAGTAAAGTGGATTCTCACGATGGTCAGGTTACCACACAGCTTTTTGTCTTTTAAATGAAAGGATAGCGTAACATTAAGGATATTAATCATATTTCACTTTCATCGCAGAACTTTCTTCTTTTAATTGTGTGTGGGGAGGCTGTAGCTTGCTCATGCGCTCATATTTTTGCAGTGTGCCTTTCACTGTTATATTAGGCTTTTTCCCCTTACCATTAGTTACATCTCAAATCTCATGCCAAGTCCTGAAAGTAGGAGAAATCTGTGCCAGAAACCCTGGGCAAGAAAGGCCACGAGGAAAGGAGTGCCTTGAGGGGTGGTGGAAAGGGACACCTCTGCAGGGGGCGCTGCTTCTGTTGTCCAACGTGGCCCTGGGCTGGCAGGGGCTGCCTGTGCTTACTAGCTTCTTAGATCTGTTGTGAAGATGTAACGAACCTTCCTCTCTTTCTCCAGAACGCTGGGATTTGCCTTTCTTCCAGGGACGTTTTTCAAGCCTGGTATGCTTCGGCAGAACACTTTCATTGTCTTGTGAAACAATGAATGCATTCATAAGGGGCAGAGGCCTGGAAGGGTCTTTCGCCTGAGTTGTCACACACCTGCCTTTGCATACAGGGGATTTCCCCAGCAATAACATGCCTCTCAATTCTGGGTGCCAGAGTGGCGTATAAACATAATTTTGCAGTTAGCCAATCTTGATAGCTAGATAAACAATGACATATACACTTTTTCCTTGCCTTGGGGCCTTGAAGCTTCAGTGGTGGCTCTTAGAGCAAATAGGCAAATGATTTTAATTAGAAGAGAATGATAAGTAATTTGTTTGTAGAAATGCACCTGAGAAGATTACTGGAAACACTAATCTCTGCCATCCTCCATCCTTATCATTTTGTCTAAAGCCAACATTTACAGACTCCATTTTGCAGATGGGAAAAGGCCAGGAAAGGAGGTAAAGGGAGGCAAATTGTTGTAGAACAAGCCAAGATGGCCGAGAAATGGTTGGAAGCTGCTATCGGTACTTTGTTGGTTCGATCTTTAGTATCGTCCAGGAACTTGAAACATCCGTCAAGCATCTGGAAGTTCTAACAGCACATCCTCAACAAAGAACCCAAGAACAGGACAGTGTCTGTGCAGCACGTGCACAGTGAGTCACGTGTCACAGGGATGTACTGGAAAGCTCGGGTACCAAGGACTCTGAGTGGAGCTGTGGCTGTAGCCAGCCTGGGCCATGGGAAAGAGATGCCTTCAAAGATCACCAGCCACCAGCCTTTTGTGGGTCAGGGTCACCTCCACTGAGGACTTCTCTTCTCTGCCTTCCTAGGGCTCTCCTAAATGAAAATCATAGAAAAGTTTTAGTAGGTATTTCCACTCTCGTTTTTTCCCTTTTAGTATATATCAGTTTTTGAAAATTATTTATTTGAATGTATTTATTTGAAAGATGGAGACACAGAAAGACATGCAGGTAGAGATTTCCCACCCTTTGGTTTATTCTTGCAATGCTGTCAACATCATTGGAAGTCAGGCACCAGGAGCTCCATCTAGGTCTCCCATGTGGGTACCAGGGATAAGAACAACGTGACCCCATTGTGTTCTGTCTCCCAGGGTGCACATTATCAGGAAGCAGGAAGCTGGAATTGGAAGTGGAGCTGGAATTCAAACCCAGACACTCTAATGTGGGACATGGGCATCTAAACCTCAGCACAAAACACCTACCCCAACGGTATCAGTTTAAATGCTTTGTTTTCTCTTTAGACTTTGCTCCGTTTCCTCTGTTCCTTCTCTATGTTATATGCTATATGTGATATCAAGTGGATTATGGGAGTGACTTTATGGAGAATACACTTCCTTGGTTCTCTGGATTAAGGGACCAATACATACTTGTTGGGGGTGGGGGAGAATTTCTCTTGGTGCCACATGGAGCTGAGGGGTGAATTTCTGAGCCCAGACATTCCTTTTCATGAATCTGAGTTCCTTTAAGTCATGAATCGTGGCTCCTTTACCTTTGAAAGTCCATCCTAGTGCTGGGAAAACCCTTCCATGCACCCATTTATTCTAATACCACTTGTGCATCTCTTGTTGGCATCTCTTGTGTACATCTGAAAATTAGTCATCTAAGTTCACATATCAAGAGATTTTTACATTTTAATTTACCAGACAGGTAATACATCTATATGATTCAGAATTCAAATAATATAAAGGGTATATAGTTAAATATACATGCCCGTCTTCCACTTCTACCTATTCTCCCGTTTCCCTCTCTTGGGGCAACCAAAGTTATCAGTTTTCTTAAGATGTTTGTACATTTAGGAGAAATGCCTATATGTATTTTTTTCTTTTTGTATACATCTGATTATATCACATATTGTGCCCTAACTTTTTTTCCATGTACAGAATATCTTGAAGACAATTCCTTCATTAGACATAAAAGCTTTGCTATTGCTTTGTGATTCTGTAGCCTTCCGTTTTATGAACGGGTCAGATTTCATTTTACCAGGACTTTAAATATACATTTTAATACATTTATTTGAAAAGCAGAGAGAGGGAGAGAGAGAGAGAGGGAGAGAGAGAGAGAGAGGAAGAGACACACAGAGAGAGCTCTTCCATTGGTTAGTTTACTCCCCAAATAGCCACAAAAACTAGGGCTGTGCCAGGCCATAATCAGGAGCCAGAAAATCCTTCCAGGTCTCCCATATGGGTGACAGGGGGCATGTACTTGGGCCATGCTTGATCTATTTTTGTTGGCAAGCCTAGTTCAGGGGTGTCACTCTGCACCTCACATTGAACCACATCAGGAGGTGCATTACTCTCTGGGTAATGTTTCAGTGGCTGTGTCATTTTAGCTGACATTCTGTTTTTAAAGAATACTGTTAGATACAGGAAAATGTGGACGTCTATGGAAAGTGAAGTGCCAAGGGAGAAGCACAGAAGTTCATTTTTGGGAGAGAAAACGTCACGGAGGGGCCAGACGTTCACCTTCAGCACGGCGGAGGACTCGCACTCCTGGCATTTTGCGGTTAGTGTCTGTGAGACTTACTGGCTGGCTTACTGCACCAAAATGTGTTTGGATTGCAGATATTTTTCTGTCTCCTTTTTCTTTGACTCAGAATAGAATTTTTCCTTTTGCTTATTAGGTTTCCCTTTATAGAAGGTATCTCTTGGGAGGTCCGGCGGGCTGAGGCCTCAGCCTTGTTGGTGTCGGACTTCCTGTTGCTGTGCCTACTGCTCTCTGTTTTCCCTGCCCCTAAGCACTTTGTTTCCTCTCCCTGCTGTAGTCCCTGGGCCAGGCCAGGCTTCCCGTGATGCCATCAGCCAGAGGGATGCTCTTGCCATCATCCCACTCTTCCCATTCCTAATGTTTTTTGGGGCTGGTGGACAGAGTCCCAAGGTGTCCTGGATTGGAATCAATTTGTCACTCCTCCACCAGCACTTTAAAGGGGGCCAAGTTCCTTTGTTTTGTGCTGCTTTTAAAGTGGCATTTCTTCAGTGACAAGTAGCCAAGTGCTTTCTACACAGAAAATTACTTTCTCAAAGCCATTCACCAATATCTGCAATTGCTTCCAAATTCTGTCAATCCTATTAGTTCGTCTGCGTCAGTTATAAAGAGGGTTATTTGACTCATGGTGCTGGCAGCTGGAGGAGCCCAACACTATGGTGCTGGTGCTCTTCCTAGCAAGGGCCTCTGGGCTGTGTCACGTGGTAGAGACACAGAGAGACTGCAAGTTGAAAGGGTAAGAGTGTGAGTTAGGAAGCAGGGGAGATGTAGGAGGAGAGACTTGAGAGGGAAGGGAGGAGAGAGAGAGAGCGTGCGGGCCCACTGGTTCACTCCCCAAATGTCCCCACAACAGGGTGGACACCAGAGCCAGGAACTCAATGCAGGTCTATTACGTGGGTCAAAGGCACCCAATCTCACTTAAGCTATTACTGCACAGACAGCAAGAGCCCTCTGCCCAGGCTCTTGGATATGGAATGTAGACCTCTCAACCAGAGTCTTAACTATGAGGCCAAATGCCAGGCCCAGTTTCTCTTACAACCACCTGCTGCCATTGGACTGCCTTGGAGAGTCACGCTTCCTAAGAGGCCGATTGTGTCTCACCGGTCTTCGCCTCTTAAAGGCTGCACACTTCTCAATACCACCATGTTGCAGACTAAGCTTGTAAGGCATGGACCTTTGGGCACACGCTACCTGCAAACTGTAGCAACATCTTACAGTAATCCCAAGTAGTATCTCAGATGATACGCTGATGAAATTACAAATGAAGTCTCTTCCTTGGGAGATTTCTACAGATGGTACTACTTTGGCCCTTCGTTCCCTGTGGGTATAAAAGCAAATGCAACTATTTGTCTCCAAGTGAAAGACTGTGCTTGTGTGGGTTGGGGAGCAGACGGGCTTGGGAAGAGATGTGTGTGTTCTGTTCTCTCCTAGGAGCTGTGCTGTGGGAGCACATGATTCTGGTCCACTGACGGCTCATGCGATTTGCAAATTGGAAAGTAGATGAGAATCTGAAGACACCAACGAGTCTTGGGGCTGAAGGGAAGCTGTGATAGGATACCCATTCTTTTTTTTTTTTTTTTTTTTTTTTTAAGATTTATGCATTTATTTGAAAGGCAGAGTTAGAGAGAGAGGGTTGGGGGTGGGGGAGAAGGAGAAATCTTGCATCTGCTGGTTTACTCCCTAGCTGGCCACATTGGCCAGAGCTGAGCCAGTCTGAAGCAAGGAGCCAGAAGATTCATCTGGGTCTCCCATGTGGGTATAGGGGTCCAAGCACTTGGGCCATCCTCTGCTGCTTTCCCAGGTGAAATAGCAGGGAGCTGGATTGGAAGTGGAGCAGCCAGGTCTCGAACCTGTACCCGTGTGAGATGCTGGTGTGCCGGCGGTGGCTATACCTGCTATGCCATAATGCCAGCCCCTGGTTATCCACTTTACACAAACAATCTGCTCTTGAATAACATTGGAGATTTTAAAGATGGTTACACATATATTTAAATGTTATATCATAAATATATTTGGGGATGTTACCCAAAAGCCTGACTTCTGAACTAAAAAATAATCTTTCTAAAATAGATAATGATAAAACAATTCCATCCTTCCTCTATGACCACAATTGACATATGCAGAGAGAGTTAAGGAAATGGTCCCTTTGTTTTACTCACTGTGCTTGGGAGTGCTGGAGGGTACTGTTTGGGTTCCTGTTTCTCTGTGTCAGTGGAAATATTAAGTCATAGATTTTTCAGACACAGAATACTCAGGAGGAGAGATTTGGCTCTGAGTTCTGTGTCTCCGCAGCCCCTGTCTGGATTTTTCACAGGCTGACTTGCAATGTCAGCATTTTCATCTTTGTGTTCATGTCTCCTTGGGATCTGTTTGTTATTCGGGTCAGGTAGCACATGGCTGGCACAAAATAAATGCCCGTTATTGGTGATGCTGAGATATTGGAGTGGACAGTAGTAGGAAGGATTTTGGTCTTAACCCTGAGGTGCAGGAGCTGTCTGCAGGAAAGTGGGCCTTCTAGAATTCCACTGCAGAAAGGGAGGACCAGGTGAATGTTGCATGCAGCAGTTAAGCCACCACCTGGGTGGCCTGCATCCCATATCAGAAAGTCTGCTTCCAGTCCCCACTCTGCTTTCCAAGCCAGCTTCCTGCTAATGCACACCTTTGGAAGGCAGCAGCTTATGAGAGAAATAATTGGGTCACTGCTCCACTTGTGGGAGACCTGAATGGAGTTCTGGGTTCCTGGCTTTGGCCTGGCCCCAGCCTTGCTGTTTCAGGCATGGCAGGGGGTAGGGGATAGACCAGCCAATGGAAGGCCTCTCTATTGCTCTGCCTTTCAAGTAAATATAAATAAATTTCTAAAAAGGGGAGGACCACCAGTTTGTGTCATCAGAAAATCTTACTAGAATCACTTTGAAGACAAAATGACCGACAGCAGTGAACTACAGGCATTTTAAGGGTTTGCCTCTGCTGCCAGTGTGTATTCCATGAAAACAGAAATGCCAAGAAAAGGACTCTTAAGCCTGTTAACTATGGAAAAGGTCAGAATAGAGCTATGGATAGCAGGCAAAGAATGGAAATGTCAAAAATTGGGCAGAAGGGAGAGAGAAAACAAAGACAAAAATGCAGAGTACCTTGTACAAAATGGGAATTGGGCGGGGGAGTGCAGGGACCCGGAGGGAGTGGTGGTGGGGGGCTGGTTTCAAGTATGAACTCACATGGAGAACTGGGCCCCTTTCAAAGGCCAGTGCTCTGGGTTTTCAAGCCAGCTGGAAATATCTCCGGAAAGCAGCAATATCTTTTGCGGAGGCCCATCCAATGTGCAAGTGCAAATGTCAATAAGGCTCCTATGTCTGCACCTCCCAAGCCAGGGGTGAGTTTCAGGCTTTGTGTTGGGCAGTAAACAACAGAGCCTTTGGGTCTCAAATGAGTGTTTTTTCTTAAAGAAAAAATGGCCTCCTGAAAATCAATTTTTATTACATTGTTTGGCACGATCCAAATGTCTTCTGTTCTCTCCCCCTTGCATACCAGTTGCTGATTCCTTTGGGGAGGAAAGAAGCCCCATTCTAAGCACCGCTTTCATTGTTTCCAACGCATGGACTCCATGGATGGAAAGATTTTGTCAGCCAACTACATTTGATAAGCAATTCCTATTTCTACTTTTCTTAATCAGCTGTAGAAACCAAAGCTTTAGGTGGGTGTTTCCTTACAGCTGATAGAATCCTGGCCAAGAACTTGATGTCTGAGTTGCCCGGGGAGTCGGGGTTGGTTGGGATTTGACTCTCTGACTGCTCAGCATCCATTTGGGCAGTTTAGCTGGAACTCAGTTGGAATACCTGTGAGACAAATTCTCTCTGGTTGGCCAAGTCTACAGAATTACCCCTGGTATTGCTTCTGTTCTGTGAATTGAGATAGATGGGCTGGCCCCTACAGGCCTCTGTAGGGAGATTGTGTTAACTTCCACTAAGCTTTGGGATGAACTGAAAGTAGCTCAGCCTCCTGATTGCTAATCTTACAGCGCCTGAGCAGCCTGGCCACTCCAGAATGTGGGGAAGGTAACCTGTGTGGTTTCTCTTTCGTGTGGTCCTGTCTGGAAGGCTTCTGTCAACCTCAACTCAAACTGACGCACCCTGCAGTCTGTTCCAGCCACAGAGAAGTGGCTACCTAGGAATACATGTATTCTAGCTGCCCAGAACAAAAAACACCGGCAAAATGTGCATTACGAAAAAAACTATATGTGGGGGTCAATTTCTTGCACCAAAATAAAGATTGTTTAATTACATTTTCCACACACTTTTTGAAGTACCTTCATAGGGGATTTGTAATGGTCTCTGAGTAGTTAAATATATAGACCAAAAAAAAAAAAAAAAAAAAAAAAAAAGGAGGAACAGGTAGGGGTACCAGAAATTGCTTACCATAATCACATTGGTTCTCAAGCACAGCATGGACTGTGGATTGGTTGTTGTTCCCTTTGCTTCCAGGAAGAGTCGCACTAAGAGGGGACATGTGCTTCCCTGGAGGTACTTCCTGTCCCACAGGTAGCAGCTGCTCTGCAAGGATTATCCTGCACCTTAGGGTCGTGTGTGACAAGGGTCTCCCGTCCCAGGCTTTTCCAGCCTACCGATTTTCAGTGCACCTCAGTCTGATCTGTTTTAAATTCCTTTTGCACAGCCTAATCACCAACTATGTCTCCGAAGGATGGGCTGTTTCGATCAAATTTTCATACTCGCGCACTCATTTGGCTACAGTGTCCTTGCAGCAAACTCTCACTCAGGCAATATGGAAAAACTCTCTTATCACACATCTTTTGTTCTCAGCTTGGTTGTTTGTTTATTCTTTTCATCTTCTTTTTGATCTTCAGGGAGCAATGGGGAGAAGAACCAGTTCTACCCAGGGAGGAAATCAAAGTAGCCTTTAAAAAACATACTGTAATATCCGCCCCAGGTAGCATCGTGGGTTAAACAAAGGAAAAGGAAATTCTATCTCTAAGTTATTAAAGAAAAAAATAGACTTACAGACTCTGCTTCAAAAATGTCGCAACTGTTTGACACTGTGGTCAACACTGTACAAAAAAAAAAAAAAAGAATGAGTTTCTATGCAATAATCTTAGTTACTTTTCTTTAAAAATAAAAAAAAGATTGTTATTCATTTGAGAGGCAGAGAGAAAGACAGACACAGAGAGCTTCCACTTGCTGTTTCATTCAGGAAATTCTCAAATCAGTCTGAGGGCTGCGGGGCCGAAGCTGGGTGCAGGAACTCTGTTCAGTTCTCTCACATGGGTGGCAGGCACCCAGACGCTTGAGCCATCACTGCTGCTCTCAAGTGCAGGTTAGCAGGAAGCCGAGTCAGAAGCAGAGCCGAGCCGAGACTCAAGCCTGGGCACATGATAGGAGATACAGGAGTTCCAAGTAGTGTCGACCTCCAGGCCAAGTGCCTGCCCTCACTTCTTTTTCACAATGGAATGTTTTTTAAACAATCACTCTGGTGGTGAGATAGACACCTCAGCTTTGTTGCTGAAACTCTGCCTGGAGTGGAACATGAGGCAGAGGAATACCATTTTGTGTAAGGCATCATTGCAGCAAGAGGAAATAAAGTATCGAGTAGCAGTAATGTGGGAGAAGACCACCTTGATGCCAGTTAGCTCAACTGACTCATTAACTCCAATTTGGAAAATGGTATCATTGTGTGATACCTACAAATTTATATTCCATAGGTGCCTAAGATTGAAAATACAGTGTATTTAAAAATATGACTAAGAATTCCAAATTTCAGCTTAAGAAAACCCGCCTCATTTGGTCTTAGCTCTATAAATTTGAGCATATTTTAAGAGGCAAGGTAGCACATGTGTTTTGATGTTGGGATCTGTTTTGACTACTGTTTGTACCTCTTATTGGCTAGCTGAATTTTTGGGAGACAGCTCTCTATGAATCTCTCACATTCCTGCACTTCTTATGACAATGTGTTTTTTTTTTCTTTTTATCAGATAATCTTTTTTTTTTTTTTTAAACAGGCAGAGTTAGACAGTGAGAGAGACAGAGAGAAAGGTCTTCCTTCCGTTTGTTCATCCCCCAAATGGCCGCTACAGGTGGCATGCTGCACCTATCCGAAGCCAGGAGCCAGGTACTTCTCCTGGTCTCCCATGTGGGTGCAGGGCCCAAGGACTTGGGCCATCCTCCACTGCCTTCCCGGGCCACAGCAGAGAGCTGGACTGGAAGAGGGGCAACTGGGACAGAATCCAGCGCCCCAACTGGGACTAGAACCCGGGGTGCTGGTGCCGCAGGCAGAGGATTAGCCTAGTGAGCCGCAGCGCTGGCCAGATAATCTTTTCAAGGATGCTTGAATACGGAATGCTCTTTGATGAAACGGAGTCTCCTTCCAGGGCAATGGGTATATTTGTTTGCTATCTAAGTGAACCAATGGATGAGAGATCTCTTTCTCTCTCTTTCTGCATGTCTTGCGCTGCTCCAACACTCTGCCTTTCAAATAAATAAATAAATCTTTAACAGAAAGTTGCAAGGAGAAAGGAAACAGTGCTTGTAAAGTCTGAGTGCCCTTCCCAGTCCATAAGAAGTCGTTA